CTATATGTAAAGAATGAAGGAACCCGGCTCCGGCTCACAGCATTTCTCCTTCCTCCTTGTCCTCCTTCCTGGCTGGCTTGAGACTAGAAGTGAAGCCCAGGGAAAAGTGGCTGCATGTAAGCAGAATCAGCTAACATGGATCCAAACCCGCTGAAACCATGAAGTATTTGCCATCGTTCTTGATTTGCGGGAGGTATGCTTGGGTGCGCGAGCACAGGCACCCTCGCTTGCAATGCCTGCAGCTTCGCCGACAGGCTCCTTCTCCCAAGCTTTGCTAGAGAGCTCAGGGGCCCAGGACTTTTCCCTCTCAGGTTCGGGCCAGCACGCGCTCGGTCATGGTGCTGATCATAATCTGCCGATCGCATGAAGCTCAAGGAAGACTTCTCTCGGGATTGTAGCGAAAGAAAGCTCAACCTGGAAGGTGCGAAGGCCTCCTGTGCGGTCCCGCCACTTGCACCAAACTCCACCACGAAGGTGACAACGGCGTACCTCAACAAAGCCGCCAGATCAAAGCTTCGATGGCGGAATTCGACGAATCCAAGGTCCAAGCAAACCGATGTTGGAATTCCAGATGTTGAGCTCCGCGAAGAATGCGCGGGTGGCTGCATCCAGATAGCCCTCGAAAAAGCGCAGTGCAACCACCATTGCTTGCAAACCTATCTCAAGTATCTCAAGCGCAATGCCGGACCCTGACATGAAGCTCTCGGACTGGAAGTTAGCATGGGGACACTTCTAGACTCCAGGACTCCGTACGTCGACTTTGAGCTGCTGGATTTGCTGCATGGCCTACAGGAGCACGTCTCCGATCGCAGTATCCAAGCATCTCGCACCGACAAGGCCTGACTCATGTTGGAAGCTAGCAGCTGCATGAAGCCGTCTGCCGAGTACCTCGGAACTCAAAAGGCCGCCAGCTGCTGAGCCCGCAGTGCGTGAGTCTGTTGCTCAAGGTCTGATCTGATCTGCGCACGAACCGAGTGCGCCCGTGTAGGGAATGCCCACTGTGTCTTCTGAGAATGTAAACCTGTCCAGAAGCTTGCATTGCAGCGATTCCACACTGGGCCATCGGTGGGACATCAGAAGACAAGAGAGTTTGGCCCGAGCTCCACGGAGCTGAAGGCTTTGCCGCTTTGGGCCTCTCTTGAGGACCGTAGGCAGTCGTGCTCGCAGTCCCTGTCAAGGTGAATTCTGCTTCGCTTTGGCTTCTCATCTCCCGCAGTGCTTCGAGCACGGAGGATGCCTGGGCTGTAGTTGGGATAGCAGCTGACCTAAGGTATGCGCCCCGACACCCCGAAGCACAAGCTCTGGCAGTTGGTAGTGTATGCTTGCTGTCATATCAATGGATCTGGAAGTTTCTGAGCTCCGCACAGTATACTGTTCAAACAATGGGAGCACCTGCCGCCACCGTTGGAGACTACAAACCAACCTTTGCCTTGCCAAGACTTGGACAACTTAAGCCTGAGAAGTTCCCTCAGGACCCTCGCCAAAGCCGGTCGTGTTTCTGTATCTAGAGTGTAGACGGCTTAGTCAGCTGTGACTCTACTGGCATACGCAAGTGACGCGCGCCTGACAGTTCTCCTGAAGATTCACGCGTACCTTGCGAACACCAAACTTGCCGTGGACATGAAGCTGCCCCAAAGTCTGCGGCGAGAAGATTGGATGGCTGCAGATACAAGGCTCTGGATCTCACTCTCTTTGGCCGGGAGGGGCCGTGGGGCGGGCGATGCCTGACGCAGTCGAACCGTGCCCAGCATCCGGTTGGCGATGTCGATGGGCTTCAGGTGCCTGAGATTTGGGAAAATGGCCTTGGCTGTTCTCGACTCCTGAGCAAGGAGGTTCGAGACCCGGACGGTGAAATACTTTCCGCAAGCTGAATGTCGGTGCTGTTCTTGTAGAGCGCCGGAACAAACACCTGTTCAATGTACTTGTCGCATCTGATAGCACCCCGACGAGCTACATACACTTCATGCTGGAGTTGAGGGCCATGCATCCTCCAGGTACGCGTAGAGCGTGTCCACGTCAGTAATCCGCGTGATCGGATGATGCGTGGGGTTCAATTTCTGCGCAGAGATGCAGGAATCCATGCTGCTGCAATGGTCGCAATTTGCACAGTAGTCCTCCTCTGCAAATTGCAATTTCGACTTTGGTTGACAAGTTTCAACTTCCAGCTAAGTATGAGCAGGCTTCGACAAACACGTATCAGCCAAAAGCTGCACTCCGACATTCATTCATCTGGCTTTCTCCCGAAACGTTCGGCCGAGATGGACTCTACTGCTAGCTCCCATCGCCCTGTCACATCTCCCTACGGCGACGGTCCAGGCGAATGTGGTCGCTGAGGCGAGAAGTGGCCACGGACCTCAAGAGGAAAAGTAGCAGCAACTCTGAAATTGACCGTTCTTTGGCTGTTGCCCCATAGGCCGGAGCTGATTCAGAAACATCGCCAAGGAGAACGTCAAGAGGAACAGGAAGAACTCTGTAATGGAGCCGCCTCAGCCGGCAATCTACATTAAGGGAGCAGCAGGACACCAACGTTCTGCAACCGGCAATGCTGAGCTTCACACAGAGCTTCAGGTTGTCACCTGCAAGAGCTGAGTCTTGCTGATAAGCCGGCGACCGCCCTGTGACTGCATTGCAGCCCACCTTTGATTCTTTCCCTCTTGGTGTTCGGGGTCTCGATGCTTCGAGTGTCCTCGTCTGTGCCATCGTTCCTCGGCCAAACGGACGATATGACTCCAGCATGAAGGGATTTTGCCACAAATTGGTGGGCACGCATCTACGTGTGTTGGGCTGACCTTCCATTCCGAACACAGGTGTAAGTCCTGTCCTGCCGAAGTTTGCAATACAAAATCAGCAGCGCGTAAATGCCCGATGTAGAGATGGTATGTAGCCCTCATGGGATGTTGTCGATTACTCGGGGTCTAGAGTGGAACTGTCCCTTCACTGAATGAGAGGGAAGTATGCTCCGACTGCTGCGACTCCTTATATCATGTCGGAAGATGCAGCTGTGGGTAGCTCTAGATTGCACCACAATAGGGCCTTGGATGATGAGATCTTGTCGTGAAAAGCGCTCCAACTTCCTTCCATCTCCTCTGTCAACAGGACCCCTTGCAAAGTGGAAAAGGAAGCCTCTGGGAGCCCCTGCACAGCAGATTGGTCATAAGGAACCTGGGCAAGGGAAAGACAGGATCCTGCTGTGTTGTTACCGTGCATGGCATGGACAGGAAGGCACAAACCTGGTTGTGGTCATTGCCTAGCTTCATCGCATAAGCCCACGTTCCAAAAAGGGCTCCACAACAGTACTACAATCTACCATGTTGTCCAATTAAGGCGTCGTCCATAACACCCTGCTTGACATCCTTCTTGTCGCCTCCACCCTTCATCGCACCTGCCAGTTTCTTAGGATGTGGCTTCGCTCTGTCACAACAAATTGCTCAGAATTGCGGCCTCCACCTCTCTCATCCGCAGCTCCTTAGCGGTGCGGCGGTGGGGGAGCGACGAAGAAAAACGCCCTTCGCTCTGACCAGTGACTATCTCAGGCAGGGGCAGCTCTAATCGGCCCACACGAATGGAGGGTACTAAGACTTCAATAAGCAAGCTGCGGGCCGAAACACCGTGCAGTTTTAGGATGCCTGTCCCCTGCATGGCCCCATGTGCATCATGGCCACACGTCTCAGATGTCAGGTTTGTCCCGCAACGCACGGTCCGCAAGCAAGTCTGACCTTCGGCCACTTGCTGTATAAATGTCGCGATTACTCAGCTTTTCACTTCCTTGACGCTCGCATGCAGCACCTCGGCGCGCAAACGCACAAGGATAGCGACAACCATATGAAAGAGGCCTCCACCCCTTACGACTTAACCGGCATTAGATTGTTAGACATGCTGAGAAAGCCGGTACCTGCCAGTGAAACTTCGAGAAACCCGCGTTCCAACACATGCAAATCGAGTTTGCCAACCAGTCGACGCTTTATTTGCCTCTGCGGCTTACTAAGGCCTTCCAGTTGCCAAAAATGAAACTCCGCTCTTCGTACATGTCACGGTGATACGACAACAGTGTCCTTAGATGTCCTTAGCAATGCCATGCTGCACACAGCATCGATTGCAAATCGGGCACTTGGCCTTAAGTCTTCCCAGCTTGCACTGGCATGTGCAACTGAAGCCGAGCGCCATGTGCACCGGTCGGTGGTCAGAAAATGTGGCAGACCTCTCACAAACCCATACGAGTCAAGTGATTCAGGACAGGACGGACGCTGCTTCGACCAAGCACTATGCATGGATGTCTACCTCTAGGCCTCTAGGTTCCTTACCACACATGAAAGGATTGAACATCTTGGCTTCTTGTGCAAGGTGGCCTCCCAGCTGACACTGTACCAGAACATGACATTTGTCAAACATGCCGGCCAAACTCCACTGAAGAATAGGACGCCACTTTCACCTTTCGCGACCATTCCGGGATGGAAGCTTGAGAGTGGTTTTGCCCTGTTCTGCACAGATGAAACACAGGACTGGCGCAGCAAGGTGCGAGGTTCGAGTGCGCGAGGAGATACTGTTTGTGGTAGCTGCTGTTTGTTGGCACGCAATCACCTACAAATGCTAGTCAGCTAGTCTGCGCCTCAGAAAGGACATTCCGGACATATCGCCTATGTGATTGCCATCGCAACAGAGGATGACATGCCAGACGTGCAGAACGTAAAGGACAAGTTTACTTGGCGAGATCCTGATTCTTCGAAGTTCTTGCATTGGTTGCATCTCGTCGTCTGGAATTTTCAGACGGTTCCATTGCACAGCTGTTAAGCGCAGTGTCAGAGGCTTTGAGCTGTGTCTCGTACACACACACACACACATCTCAAGTCCGTTGGATTCCGGAGTCGCCTGTCCGCCACAGTGCGCATCCTTTGTGCTCGACATCGTGCGATGACATCTCTGACTTCTTTAAGATCTTTCAGAGCAACCGACAGCTGTGGAAACCTTCCCAAAACTGCAGTCATCTGTCCCAACATACAAGTCTCGAAGCACGGCCCTCTCCGACCACGTCTAGTCTAGCGGAGTCTAGCGTCGTATGTGTGCGCATGTCGCCATTCAATTTGGTGAGTCCATGCTGCACGGAGATTGGACGGCCGCGGCCTCCAGGCCACGCCCCGGGCGCCAAAGGATGCGATCGCACCTGCAGAGCAGTCGCGCGGCTCAAGTGAAAAAGCAAACGGAGTGGCAGAACGAAAGAGCAACTGAACTGACTCAGCTTGCGAAACATGCAAAGCCACAGCAGCAGATGCATCGACGCATCGCCTAACGCTGAGTCCAAAGCCACCCTGGCAGCCGCGGTTCGTCGCGGTCGAAGCGGACAGGGGGACAGACTCCTGCGAAGTAGGGAACGGGTGCCTTTGGAAGCCTCGCCAAGGATCAGTCTCTCACACCTGCGGGCCTGGATCGAGGCTTGCGCTGACAGGTGCACGCCTGTACCTGACAAGGTCCCGCACGGACAAGCTCGAAGTGAGCCCATGTCAATGTGACCCCAGGGCCCAAGTTTCCCTTCCAAAAAGCCTCGAACTTTTTCTCGACAGGTTCAAGCTCTATCGCGGGCTGCTGCAGCGCTGCTTCAGCCCGTGCTCCCCCGGCTGCGTGCATCTGCCGGATCAACAGCCTCGGGACTCAGAAGTCTTTGAAAATTGAGATGCTCTGGTAGACCGGGCCAAGGTGCTGCATCTCTTGTGCTTTCCGCTTCAAACCACGCCGTGTTAGACTTCCGGTGCCTTGGAGACGCACTACGCGCTATCCATTATCAGCATCTGGGAATCAATCTGAGAATCTCGGCAGGTCTTGAAAGCTGCAAAGCCGTCATGGTCTCTGCTTGCATATCTGTGAGAGGGTCTCGACCCGCGCCACAGAAAACTCTCCGAACCCCTTTCACAGTCACGACCGTCTACTCAACTTCCACCCTGAACCTCAAAGTAACTTCTCTGCCTCTTGCCGGGTCCACGATCTTTCAGTCTCAGGGCAAGGTCACGGGCGACCCTTGCCCGCATGCACGTACCTAATTGGATGCCTCAGGGACCTGAACGAAAAGAGTGCAGGGATGTGCCGCTTTCATATCAATCAAAACGACCTTGTCCCACACAACCTTTTAAAGGCAAGCTGCAATCCCGCACACTCTGACTCTTCCTTCCGTCCTTCTTTCCAATCTGTTTGGGGATCGGGCGCAAACCAACACAACCCCTCCGCTCGCGCGTTATGCGCTGCTTCGGTTCTGGTCGGCACGTGATATGCATTCCGGCCCCTGACGCCGTACTCAAAATCCGATGATGTCCTCAAAAGTGCATTCCGGGCCCTGTGCGGATGGGTATCACAGCCGAAATGCATTCAGGTTGCAGACCCGCGAATGACTCAGTACTGTTGCCCTGTGCCCCCGATTATTCAAGCTGTCGGCTAGATCTTTCTTTCATGTTGGCTGGACGCTCGGTTTAAGCACGGTGAAGCCGTAGCAAGAACCCCAACGTCTTCCGATTTTTGCGACAACCCCAGAAGCAACACAAAGCAGACAACAAGTGATGCCTGGAAACCTCATGCAGTACTTAGAACTGTCGCAACATCGGCCCGGGTTCACCAGGCGGGTTGTTCCGCCCCTGCCAAGCGCCGCCCTACTGACCCTACTGTGCGAAACACTGCATGCCCGCACTATACTCTCTCTTCTTCCACACAGCCAACCAGGAGGCACTGCACCCCGCCCTCGCGCGCGAGCGCGCCCTGGTTCGCGAAGTCTCTGTGTGAAAGCTGCTTCCGATAAGGTCAACTGGTCCCCGAGCAACGAACCCCCTTTACGAACACTTTCTTCTTCTTCCACTGGGCATAAGGGACTGGTCAGAACACTCTCTCTCTCTCTGGCTCTGTCCAGCCATTCTTCGCCTACCCAGACTTCTGCGTGCTCTTCAGTATTTTTGACAGGCCCAGATGCGAATCCCTTCGTCAGGCGTGTCTTCCTCATTTCCCGAGTCCCACTCGTCGATCTCACTATCCTCAGTCAGCAAACAGTGACAAACTGGCCCAACAACAATCTTCACGACTCCATGCTGCGTGCTCCGAGCACAGCAGAAATCCACTGCAGCTTCAGTCGCTACCTCCAGGGCAATCTCAACCTGGCATGTGGCAAAAACGTCGGCAACTTGCGGGCACCAACAAGGACTTATAAGGCCACCTCGGGAGGCACCGGGCGTGCAGGGCGCACCGGGCGCCGCCGCAGCGCTGCCCTCAGGGCTGCCCCAAGCGAAGGTCCCGTTCGGACTTTCGGTCGGGTCCCTGTCGCTTGCGCCGCTCTCGATTTCGCTGCTCCTGCTTCGCAGGGAACCCCGCCCTGTCCCACTCCCAGGGTGAGAAAAGGGAAGCTGTGGAAAAGACGCTCTGTCGGTTCTGTAAGCTGTGCTTGGAACCTGCCTAGAGCCAACCCACACCCCCAACAGGTCTCTTCCCGCATCACGGCCTGGGCTCGGTTCCTCACTGGCAACGCAGGGCCTCAGACTTCAAAGTCGCATGAACGGCACGACTTCACGCTTTCCTGGGGCTCGAGCTTTGTCTTCTTGTGGCGCAACATCCAGGCGAAGAGATCAGAGGTTTTGTACGCAGATGTCCAGATCTGATGGCCGAGAGCCTGCGACGTCACGATTTGCTTGCACCCGATGGGGCCTAGAGGCCTAGATTCTAGTCGTCCGCTGCACCCCGCGCTTTACGAAACCTTGTTCTCGCGTTGTTTTGCGACAAGAAGAATGTCAAGCTCAGCCGATTCGTAAGGGTTTTTCGTATTCAGCCAAGCTTTGGTGGCACCAAAGCCCGAAACTCTCATCCACTCGCTTCCCATCAAACCACGCTGTTGCAGTCGCCAGCATCGCAAATCTCTGACGACTCGCTAACTGCAGCGGAACTACGGCAGCTCGGCGCCTCATACTTTGTGAGCCTCAAATTCGCTCGGCCGCGGCCCTGTGAACAAGCCAAGAGAGAGAAAGGTTTGCCCGTGCTTGCAGGTGCCGTCACCGTCTCACATGCCTTGCCGCCCAATGCTTGGTACAGCAGCAGGGAGCCATCTGGGTCCACCGTTCGATCCTGCCAATCGCTCGGAGGCAACGTTTGAAGCCTGGATGTGGCATTTCTGCATTCTCCGCGCCTTCATGCCGTGGAAGAGCCACATCGGCAGCTCTCCTCAGCAGCGTCCGCAGACCGCGGAGTCTGCGGCACATCGCCCCTTTCATCGCTCTATGCTGGCCCAAGGAACTGATGTCGCTTAGATCCTCCTCCTTTGGCGCGACTTTGGCCAATTGCAACATCGAGTTCAGGCTTGTCTCAAGCCTGCAGGGGGCAAGCCTGCAAATTCTCGTCAATGTGCACAAGAGAATCTTAGCTCTGGGCGGCAACGGCTTGGTGAAGCCACCGCACACACCGATCCTTGACGACACTTGCACGAGGTGAACAGCGCACTGGCGTAGTCGTGGTGATCATGATAACATGGCAGACGAGAACACACTAGGACTCAAGCTGCCTTTTCTCTGCTCGTAGGAATCATTACATCATACATGCTTTGGCGGTATCCGGAGAAGCGGACCGCGAATGCATTACTTCCAGCGATGTTGGTGCAGGCAGAATATCGACACGCATTCTCGAAACCCTCTCTGCATAGAATTCGAGTGGAAGCCTGCACAGGGCAGAACATTCCCCAACCACTCGGCTTCCGGCTAGATCGAAACGCCAAAGTCTGAAACCCACCGGCGAGACAAATCAAGAGAACGAAAGCTCGCCACTCCGGACGAAATGCTCTATGGACAGGAAGCCTGTGGCCTTGCTCGCCTGCAGTCTGTGCTAAGGCCGGCGCAAAGCAGCGAAAAGCCCTGGCGCAGCCGAAGCCGCAGCCAGAGCCCCGAAGGCCCCCATGCTGAGGCCGGTGATGTAGATCCTCTTCACAAGGGTACCCCGGTATGCCCTGAATGCTTTGAACTATTTATTGCTAGCTGACTAGCAACTTAGGTCGTCTTCGTCGTCGAGCGCATGTCGCCCTTCCTCCGAATTCCCTGCTGATATACTCGCCTGAACTCGGCGCAAAGCTATTGCTGCAGGCTCCCGCCGGCGATTGTTGAAGCTCGGCAAAGCGAGCCAGGATTTGGAAGTGTTAATGTTGTGATAGTGACCGATATTGACAGCAGCGATTTGCAAGATGCTGCGGCTTGTCGAATTCGTTGCGGGTTCCTTTCCAAGGCCTGGGCGTCGTTTCCTAGGAAAGCTCACGTCCCTGGCGTGCCTCTAAAGCCTGCCACCGTCGTGGTTTCGGTCGTAGCATTTGTTGGGCCCTTTAGAAATTTTGGGGTTTCTTCTGGTCCAGAACCTCAAGCAGGACTGTGATCTGCATCCCTTGGTTCGCCGGACCAGGAATTTTTTAGTTTGCAGTTACCTTGATCATGCTTTCTCAGAACGGCTCTGCATTCATTTGTTTAGCAAATAGTCTTAGCGTACCACTGTTGCCGTCCGGCCTGTTCGGATCCAGCGAGAACTCATCGCGCACCTGCTGGGATGGGCAGCAAGCTCGTTGAATAAAAGCCGTGCTACATAAAACATCGGCTGTCACATCTAGAATGCAGAGGCGGACAGAGGCGTTCGCCTGCTTTGTGAGCGCGACGATGCGGTCGGCTATTGCAGGCCACACAAAGGCCTGCGCAACAGTGCGTCGGAGACGGTCGGTGACTCTCTGCGTCGCCGACTCCTCTTTCAGGCAGAACCTGGCCTCCGGGCACTGCGGAGCCACGAGGAAGAGCCGCTTCACGGCAGCCAGCGTCCACGGACCGTTGCTGCGCACCTTACCAGTATCGGCTCAAGAGATCTCACCTGATGTTGAAGAGAGTGGGCCCTGAGGTGGAAGTCGCTTAGTAGAGCACCTTGCCCAAGTCTCGTCCGTCTTCGTGGCCACCTCTGCGACTAAGAAACTGTTCATCTTGCACTGATCTCTGGCTTCGCAATCTATCACGCAGAAAGTGCGCACTCCGTATCTGTGCCCCGACAGCTCAAGTCAAGCCCTTCGTGTCAAGAGACGCTCCCCTGCACCGTGAAGGAAAACAAGCAGTGGCCAGGGCTGGCGAACGGAGTCGTCCGGAGTCTTCGCCAGGTACCTGGTCAGCCGCATGCCAGCAACTGCCGGAGCTGTGGCACCTGCTGAGCACGGGGCTGGAGGCCAGCAGCCGAACCCCTGCGCTCTGCAGCTGTACGGCCAGGGGCCCCCCAAGGCATGGCACGGGAGGCAAAGCCAGAGGAAGCTCCCAATGTCTTGCATATCTTGAGACTGGCTCCGTTTTTTGTGGGTGATCATCTTGCTAGACTGATGGAACCCGTTTCTTGCGTTGTGACTGCAAGACTCAAGTAGGTGGGTGTGTGAGTGGGTGGCTGAGGAAGAGTCATTGCAGGGTAAATGAAGATGGATCCCGACTCTCAGCGCTCAGGGAAAAATCTAGTTTAAAACCAACCTGCTGCAGCTAGTGATGCTCAGCTGGCTGCTTGTTGAGTCGCGCAGCTCAATCCAACCTCACCCGAATCAACCTGAACCCACAGCACAGCAACCGCGTCGCACGTCGGAAGAAATGCCACCTGCGACTTCCCTCTGTCTCTGGGCGAAACCATACCATGCAGTATCCGTCGCACAATCAGAGTGTCCTTCATTCGAGCCAAAGAATGACGCCCACCTCTGCTTCCTGAAAGCCGGCGAATGCCGGGCATCCATCGCGGAGGCGCTGGCGCAGCTGACAGCGTTCCTGCAGCAATTGCCAACGAGCTGCGCAAACCGAATCCGAAAGCTCACCACAGACTTGAGACCCGCAGGGCGGGGGGGGGGGGGGCGACGAAAGCTCTTGCTTTTTTGGAGCTACGTTGAGAGAGGTGCGTACTGGTTGCAGGTAGCATCTGATGTCTGTGTGCCAGGTGAAGGAAG